ACGAGACTGCCAATGCCATCATGACCAGGAGTGGCAAGCTGACTGTTGACCCACCTGCTCGGGAACCGGAGAAAGAAAGCCCTGTCGTAGCATCTCCAGCGGTGGAACACGAAGTAGAGAAGGAGGTTGAGGTGCCTGCACCTGAACCGCAACCAGTAGTGAAGGAGTATGTCCCTAAACTACCTTTCCCTACTCGGTTGCACAGAGACAGGCTGGAGACAGAGTTCGAGAACTTCATGGCCATGCTCAAGAAGCTGAATGTCCAAGTGCCCTTTCTTGAGGCACTATCGCAAATGCCAAAGTATGCGAAGTTTCTGAAAGAGCTTCTCTCAAAGAAGCAGAAGCTGAGTGAGCTGGCCACTGTGGAGCTCAGCGAGGAGTGCTCGGCTATTCTGCAGAACAAGCTGCCGCAGAAGAAAAAGGACCCAGGTAGTTTCACTATCCCGTGCTCTATCGGTAAATTGCATGTAGAGAAGTCCTTGGCGGATTTAGGTGCTAGTATCAATGTTATTCCATATAAATTGTTCATGAAACTAGGCCTAGGTGAACCCCGTGCTACTAGGATGACCCTTCAATTAGCTGACAGATCGGTAGTGCATCCTAGGGGTATAGTGGAAGACCTTCTGGTCAAGGTTGGCAAATTCACATATCCTGTGGATTTTGTTATCCTGGACATCAGTGAGGACACAGAAGTGCCTCTTATACTGGGAAGGCCTTTCCTGGCCACCGCCAAGGCTCTCATTGATGTGCATGATGGGACCTTAGTTCTGAGGGATGGCGAGGAGCGAATAACATTTTCTGTTGCTAACACTATATCTGATTCGTTACCCCTGCATGCTGTATCTCACCAGGAGCACGAGTCTGTCGTGTATCCTTCTGTGCTGCCTGTTTTGCAGGACCCGCCTCTCACATCTTCGCCGCCACTCCGGACCACTCCATCATCCAAAGAACAGGTCAAGGAGGAGTGGCGGCCGAAACTGCAGGCAGCTAAGCCTGCTCGCAAGAAAGCCGGAGACCACTATGAGCTGGTCCCGCCCCCACCTTGGCCATCCGAGTATTCACTCGCTTGCATCCTACCGGATGGCCAAGTCGAGCTGGCAAATGCAGGTGGCCACATTCGTCGTGTACATGGCCACCATTTGAAGCTGTACCTCAAGAGCGAAGTGGATCCGCTCTTGAGGGCACCTGATCCTACACTTCCCTGAGCATCCTCTACTGGCGTCCAGCTAAAAGACGGTAAAGAAGCGCTTGTGGGGAGGCAACCCCACCACGGTTTGCATTTCTATCCTTTTCCTTTGAATTTTTGTCGTTTTTGAGTCGTAGAGTCTGTCTGGAGTCTGTCTGGAATGTATTTCGTGCCTCTGGCGGTGCCTTTTAATGTGCCATTGGGTGAATTTTCGAGCCGGGGCACGAATGAGTTTGGGTGGTTTGAAATTGGAATTTGGAAAATCAGCTTTCTGGGCTCGGCCATAAAAACACGGGCAGCAGGGGGCCAAAACACGGCCGTGTTTTGCCCCCTGTCCGCCCGTGTTTTGAATTTAGACCCAGGGAGCGCGCGGCCTAAAAAGCACGGGCAGCAGGGGGTTCAGAACACGGCCGTGTTCTGCCCCCAGCCCGCCCGTGTTTTTAAGGAGGGGGAGCACGGCCTCGGCCATAAAAACACGGGCGGGCCAAAGCCAAAACACGGCCGTGTTTTGGCCGCCCGTGTTTTGCCTCCCCCCCTATAAAAACGACTTTTTCCCACTTCCCCCTCATTTCCACCCCATTTCCCCGGGGTTTGAGGACGAGTACCCACCACCTTCCGGCGATGGTGGCGATGACTGCTAGTGGCGCGAGCACCTGGTTCTGATCGCGATTCCATTTCCAGACTGAGACTCCATGTTTATGTTGTTTCTTTTGGATTTGTTTTCTTTTATTTTGGATTGTAGACTCGGAACTTCGGTTCTATCACCCAGTGTGTCTTTTGTGTGACTCTAGCTTTGTGCCGCGGACTGGGTCCACTCCCAGTCCTCTACTATTGTCCGATCTGCCTTTGGATCTCCGTTCCTGGTTTCACGGTAACATCGTTCCCCTTCCCTCTGCTCCATTGAGGACATTGTCGCATTTAAGTGTGGGGGGGTTCTTTGTATTATTTGGAACGGGTGTATGGGTGCTTGGAGCCTAGTCCACTGTCCAAATCTTGAGATTTGAGGGCTCCAAGCACGGCTGTTTGCTTGATATTTGATCGTATTGGCATTGTGGATGTGATTAGAGAATTGAATGGCTTTTGACTCGATGCATGACAACTTGAGTGTGACTAAGATAGCCTATTACGATGACTGAGATGTGTAGTAGAGTTGTGTAGGGGTTCAGTTTTCGACTGTTTGCTTACCAACTGCGACTTGTATTTGATCACTTGCTTTTGACAGTCATTTATGCATCTAGTTCAGGGAATCAGAATGTGAGATAGAGCATTTAGGTAGCCATGTGAGATTTGAGCCTGCTCGTTTCTTTCTTGTGCGATAGTTCCCTCTTCCATGAAATGTAGCATTCACGTTGTCACTAGCTAAGATGATGGAGGCATAGGATTAGCCCACGACCAAACTGACTGTCCTGATGCGTCATATCCCCTAGTCAGCCCCTTTGAGCCGTGTGTTATCCTTTCTTTCGGTCTGAAATGAAAAATCACCCTTTGCATCTTTTAGAAGGTTCCACAGAGTGGTTTTTGCATGCTGTCTGCTGTTCTGCTAATTTTAATGTGAGGGTTGGAGGTAGTGCTTAAAATTTGGGCGTGTGTTTGAAAATGTGCAGAGGTGGTGGTTCTCTTAAGGAAAAAAAATAATAAATAAAGAAAAACAAAGAAAAAATGGAAGCAAAAGAGAGCCACCACCAAAAATCTGGAATAGTGCCCATTAAGTAGTGTTTCTGAGCAGTCTGGCCTGGAAATGCTAGCATTTGTATAACCTCCTTCGCTCTTGTGCTCTAAAGAATTTGATTAATGTAGAATAGTAGGACGAAAGTTACTGGTTTGCTTGATTGTGGTTTGTTGGGTTTGGAATTGTGGAACCTTGTGCTATAACTGCCACCACCTAAAAGGCCTGTTCCCCATGTCCAAGACCCTAGCCAGTCATTTGAACCTGTGTCTAAGCCCTCCGGATTAGTTAGTGGTGACACCCCCTTATGTGAACTCTAGCATTTAGAGGCTGCATTCATGGTGAAGAGACGTTAGGAATTGAGAGAAGAAGCATGCGCATTTTTCGCATCATATTGTCCTGACCCCACTGGTCGAGAGTGAGCGATTCATTTCTTCATTTTCTCTATACTCTTTACCCCGGTGAGGACCTAGATTGCTCGGTCTTAATTCTGATATCTTGAGCTTTGTGCATGATGTGACTGTTTTGAACAAGTGATTGAGTCAAGTCTATGTTGGTTGGTGAACATGAAAGAACTTTTCCTTTGCTCGACTCTATTGCATTCGAATGTCATCTGTGATGGTTGTCTAGGTTGTCGTTCGAGTTGCCATGTGTTGATGATCGAAAGCCAGTATGATCCACGTGTTTCGTGCTGATACGATTTACCCTTGAGCCTGCTTGATTGTAATGTCTCAAGCTTACCGGGTGTCTGACTTGGTTTGCTTAGGGACAAGCAAACGGTTAAGTGTGGGGGAGTTTGATAACGATATATTTACATGATTTTATACCCCTATTTCTTATCCATTTGCGGAGCATGGTTGTGTGTTTTGGCCTATTTTACGCCGGGTTGTGCTACTTTGCCCTATTTCAGGTCCTAGGCGTCAAAGGGAAGGCCAAGCACGAGTTTCGGATCGTTTGGAGGTCGTTTGGACGAGCCAGGCCAAAACACGGGCAGGAGGCCCTCAGAACACGGCCGTGTTCCTGCGACCGTGCTTTTTATGCCGAGGCTTCCAAAGGAGGCGTGAACAACTCAAAAAAACACGGGCGGGCTAAAGGAGAAACACGGCCGTGTTTCAGGCTGAGCACGACCGTGTTCTCGAGCTGCCCGTGGCCGTGCTTTTAAGGCTGAGGCAAAACACGGGCGGGCTGAGGCAGAACACGGCCGTGCCCTCGACCGTGTTTTGCCAATGATGCCCTTTTGAAGGCAGATTCGAGAAAAAGAGAGGAAAATCGGATTTTCTGGGCAAAAACAGAGTTTTAGAGAGAGAAAGAGCGAAGAACAAACCCTAGGAGCTATCTTGGAGTGGATTTCTCATCATTAAAGCCCAGATTACGTCCCTAGGAGTGAAGATTGACATCCCAGAGCAGATTTTCCTCATCTTTATGAGTATGACTACTCTGATTTCTGTTTTTCTTTCTCTCTCTATGGAGTAGAACCTCTCTCTCACTTGGGTATGAAGAACCCTAGTTCCTGATGTTAGGGTTTTGATTGTAATGACTTGGGATGATATTATTGTTTGATTTTAATCGAATGACGCATGTTTCATGAATTGATTTGAGTCTGATCAGCTTGTTTCAATTTCTGCTTCAACCTGAGATAGATAGAATCTGATTAGGTTGTTAGAGCTTCTTCATTCGATAGTAGGAGATTGGCTATACGAGAGTTAGCCAATTTACTGCTTTGTACTGGTGTTCTTGACGCCAGTAGTGGAGTTCTGTGTTCATAGCCTCAGCTTTCTATCCTGGTGAAGACTAGTCATCTGCCGGGTAGTTATACTGAGAGGGCTTGGTCAGCTTAAGAGATTCCAAGCTACTGTCGGATCTTCCGCAGTCTAATCAACAGTAAATCAACCCAGGGAATTGCAATTGAACCTAACTAAGGGGCTAGGGGGACTCAATCCCGAGTGACTCTTAACTGCTTTTGAAAACCGAACCAATTCCTGCTTTCTTACTGCTTTTGCTTTTAAACAACAACACTCGACTTAGTTTGCTAGATAATAGAGAATCACGGAGTAAGCAGTAGATCTAGACCCCGGGTTGATAATATAACTTGCCTGTTACTGCAGTCCCTTTCATTGGTTATACTTGGCCAGTGTTAGGTGTTGTGTTTTAGCGTGTCAGGGCCATCAGGATTATCCCCCCACCGACATCGGTCTCGAAGAGCTTTCCCCATATCTTCAACAGGGCAGCCTTCGGAACTGCATCCTGGACGTAATCCGATTTCGACTTGTACTTGAACGACCCGACCAATGGCGAAATGGTCCGGTCGAGCAGCACATCCACGGAGCTATTACTTGGGAACCCAGCGTGAAACACCATCGCCTCGAGCCAACTCATTTCCTGACAATCCCCTTTCCGCAGGCCGAGATCTGGAAACCTGCTCTGCATCAGGCTGACCAGGCTGTTGGATCTGCCTTGGAACAGCGCGTTGAATGTCGCTCTAATGGTTGTTGTTGTCGTCGAGGAGTTGGTTGTTGTGACCGCAAGCTCGATCATTAACTCCTTGGGGAGCTTGCTAGCCACAGATTGCCATCGGTGGACGATCTCCAGGGCGTTCTGTTCCAGAGTCCTGATGACCCTGAACACGGTCACCGGAGACGGAACAGAGACCAGTCTCACTTTCCAAGCAAGAACAATCCCGAAGCTGTTTCCTCCGCCGCCGCGGATGGCCCAGAACATGTCTTCTCCCATGGAGGCTCTGTCGAGGACGCTACCTTTGGAATCAATTAGGACTGCGTCCAACACATTGTCCGCAGCGAGACCGAATTTCCGCATCAAAAACCCAAACCCACCTCCGCTGAAGTGGCCGCCGACGCCGACCGTATGGCAGGAACCCGCGGGGAAGGCGAGATTGGGACTCGCTTCCCCGATTCGGTGATAAAGCTCCCCCAAAATCGCTCCGGACTGAACCCACGCGGTCTTTTCCGGAACGTCGACGCTGATGTTGCGGAAATTCACGAGGTCGAGCACCACAAAGGGGTAATTGGGATATGGGGAGGTGTAGGAGAGGCCCTCGTAGTCATGGCCGCCGCTTCGAACCCGGAGCTGCAGCCCGTGTTCCCGGGAACAGTGAACAGAGGCTTGGATTTGGGAGAGGGAAGTGGGAGTGACGATGACGGAAGGTTTAGGGGCGAGGGTGGTGTTGAATCTGGCATCTCGGATTGTGGATTGGAGAAGTAGGGAGTACTTGGGGCTCGCCGGCGTATAGATGAGATTGGTATGCGTGGCGACGGTGCTGTTTTGAGAGAAGAGGCACCGTGTGAAATCTTGTGAAGTTTGGAATGGAGGCGAGCTCCATGAGTGTGGAAGTTGCAGGAGGAGGAGGAGGAGGAGGAGCAGAGGCGGCAACATTGCTGGGTTTTGGTTTGGTAATGGACTCCCAAAAATGGATAATATTGGGTCCATTTTATATAAATCCGAACAACCAGTGGTCTTAGCAACTCACTTTTCCACTTCTCTGTTTTTTGTTTGGATTTCAACAACTAATTACAGTTTGGTACCCAAACTTGATAAATGTAAAACTCTAGTACCTAAAATCAATTTTTTTATATATGTCTTAACATATTGATGGAAAATTATCTTTTAGCACCTAAAAATTTAATATCTTATATTTTGGTTCCTAAATTTTATAAAATTTACAAATAGGTACAACTTGATGAGATTTCGAGTCTTTTTAAGAAACTTGTGGTATTCCTTAATAAACTTGTGGATATGTTTTAATAAACTTGTGTTATGCTTTACGAGGATTCTGTTATTATTCATGGAATTTGTGGTATGCTTAAGGGAACTTGTAGCTCTTTTTTTTTTTTTTGTAGAAGTGTGTTTTCAGAAACTTGTGGTCTACTTTAATAAACTAGTGGTATGTTTAATGAGTTTCTGGTGTGCTTCATGAAACTTGTGACCTGCTTTAATACATTTGTAGTCTGATTAATAAGATTTTCAGTGTGCTTCAGAGAACTTGTGGGTGATTTTTTAGCAAAATTGTGTTTTGAGAAACTTGTGGTTTATTTTATGAGATTCCTGGTGTGCTTTAAGAAACTTGTGGTTCCATATGAAAATTATAGAATGTAATATTTAGTATCCAAAGTTTCTTTTGCATATAAGTTGTTAGAGTATTGATGAAAATTATATTTTAGAACCTAAATTTTTTCGTTCTTACGTTTGATACCTAAACTTTTTAAACATATACAAATAGGTCAACATGCGTGTGACCCTAATTTGGATAGTGACAAGCACCCTTTTTAATAGTGGTCAATCCTTTGAAATAATAAAATATTTCTATTGACGGGAATTAATACTAACATAGTGCTAAAAAATTATTAGCCCTCTATAGCCACTAATTTTTTTTTTTTTTTTTTTTTTTGTGTGTGTGTCTATAGCCGCTACTTTGTTAGGCGGGGGAGATTTTTATCAATGGTGATTTATTTATTATTGTTATTATTATTATGGTTAATTAGTCACCACGAGGTTCTTTTTATAATCACCTTATGAATAATGATGTGATCCAGTTAGGTGACGGGCGAAATAAGGGGCAACCGAGTTGGTGGACCTCAGTGCAAAACCCAAGTTTTGACCCGTTTCACCAAACCCGTTGACCATTCCTTAGTCACTTTCCATATTGGGATAAGCATTTACCATTAATTTAAAATTGTCGTTATTTTGGCAGACTTGATAAATTAGCACAACTAAACTCACAAATCTTTATTTGGTAACGACTCAGGCAACAAACATTTGTACTTAGTAAAAAATAATCACAAATTAAACAGAAATGAAGATTTCATACAACTTCCAACTTTCTTTATCGCGTCGTTACAAGCTAAAAATTTGTGATAATTTTGTACTAAGTGTAAAAGTTTATTACCGTTTATGCTCATCACCCCAATTTTTTGTGATGGTTAAAGGAAAATTGTTCAAATTATCAATTCGAACAATCTCTTTGAAAAACCAATTATTAATATATAAAAGTCTAGGTTGTGAGTTACTATTCATTAGTGGCTCTCACACTCCTCCAAGTGCAAGTGAGGAAGTTCCAAAACCCTTATTTTACCTACTCTTCATTCTATAACCTTTGTGTTTAGTTATTGTACGCTAGGTTTTCGTCTATTTTTTTCCTCAAATCATCGCATTTGTGTTTTGTTATTGTTCGCTAGGTTTTTGTAACACCCTAACCCGCCCGGGTACTACTTTTACTAAAATTAATATATAAAAGCCTAGGTTGTGAGTTACTATTCATTAGTGGCTCTCACACTCCTCCAAGTGCAAGTGAGGACGTTCCAAGCCCTTCTTTTACCCCACTCTTCATTCTACAACCTTTGTGTTTAGTTATTGTACGCTAGGTTTTCATCTATTTTTCCCACAAATCATCGCATTTGTGTTTTGTTATTGTTCGCTAAGTTTTTGTAACACCCTAACCCGGTCGGGTACTACTTTTACTAAAATGCCCTTGATAAATAAAATACTCAAATCTTAAATTGCAGCTGGAAAAATTTTCATAAATAAAATACTGAAAACACGCACTTGTAGTTCGAAGCAACGCCCTAACACATGGGCAATTAATTAATATATAAAAGTCTAGGTTGTGAGCTACTATTCATTAGTGGCTCTCACACTCCTCCAAGTGCAAGTGAGGAAGTTCCAAACCCTTCTTTTACCCCACTCTTCAATCTACAACCTTTGTGTTTAGTTATTGTACGCTAGGTTTTTGTCTATTTTTTATCCACAAATAATCACATTTGTGTTTTGTTATTGTTCGCTAGGTTTTCGTCTCTTCAATCTACAACCTTTGTGTTTAGTTATTGTACGCTAGGTTTTTGTCTATTTTTTTCCACAAATCATCTCATTTGTGTTTTGTTATTGTTCGCTAGGTTTTTGTAACACCCTAACCCGGTCGGGTACTACTTTTACTAAAATGCCCTTGACAAATAAAATACTCAAATCTTAAATTGCAGCCGGAAAAATTTTCATAAATAAAATACAGAAAACACGCACTTGTAGTTCAAAGCAACGCCCTAACACATGGGCAAACTCAATACTCAAAATATCCAAATGATCTCCAGTCTATACTCATAATCATAAATGTAAATAACTAATAATCGCTAATATGGTTGCTACTGAAAACCTTGACTAAGCATCCTCCGTGACGCTTATACTGTTCTCCTCTAGCTGGCTGCCCTCGAACTCGCTGCTCACTAACTGCTCCTCTAGCTCTTCAAATTAGTGAGTGGGATGGGGTCAGTCTACGCCCTTACATTTAACATCTTATTAATACTTGATCACTTTACTTAACTTAGTGGAAGTTCTTTTGTACTTCCACTATTAAAAATCTTGACTCTTAAAACTGTATTCTTAAAGCTCAAATCTCCACTTAAATACTTGACTAACACGGCGATCCCTCACTAGCTAGTCCGGTTGCCCAACTCATACGTATGAGAAGCCCTCCAGGCTTTCCTTAAACTTAAACTTATCGTGGAAGGCTCTTCTTCCACGATTCTCAAGAGCATAACTGCTCCTCATCTTAAAATATCTCCAGAGCATAACTGCTGCTCATTCTTAAAAGTCTCAAGAGCATAACTGCTGCTCTGTCTGAAAATCTCAAATGACAACGGACTGGCGCTGGTGACTAAAAACACTTAAAACGACTTCACCTTCTTGAAGGTGAGTTACTTCTTAAAAAGAAATTGTTCCTTAAACTTTAACAATAACTTATAAACGTAAAGCTTTAAAGTAAATAATAACTCATGCACATTCACTTCAAACATAGCTCAAACAAAATCACATATCATCAACCATAAGCACAATCAAACAACGACAATCACTTCATCAAAATACTTAAAGCTCGTATTACTTGAAAGAACACATAAGGCATAGAATTTACCCACTTTACACTCACCTTACTCTACAAGTGATCAATTTGGGTTCCTTGTGGACCTCTCTGATTTAGTTGCCAACACAGTCATGGTCTTCCATTTCGGCCTCCCTAGAGCTCCTCGTAGAACTCGTTCATATAACACATTCCTTAGTTAGGAACCCAAATTGATCACGTTTGTTCATATTTCCTTTTGTTTGAAATCCAAATCCATGGGTGTCCAACCTAATACGACTATGTTTGGCCCGAATTTTAGAAGTTTTATGTTTCAAAAGTTGAAACCAAGCCAAACACCTCTAAAGTTTCGCTTTTTTAAAAAACTGCAGATTTTTCATAACTTAAAAGCAGAAGCTTCTATTTGGAAATACAAAATTATCCTTACCATATATAATTCTTTTTCTAGAAAATATAATTTTCTTTCATTTATATCATTATAAAAAATAGAGTTATTTAATATGAAATAAATTTAAAGTGATTCATTTTAAATATTTTTTTTATTTTTAGAATTTGTATTCATATTTTATGTTAGAAATATTTTATAGTCATTTTTCATTACCTCTTATATTAGAAAGTAATTCTGATAGTTTTTCAGCTAAACTCTCAACAATTTTTTTAAAATACTTCTTGAAAAGATACAGAGGAGCTGCTTCATTATGCAAAAAATGCAGCATGAACAATTACTAGCGATACAAATGGAAACAATGGTGTCATGAAAGAAGTTTAAACATAAATAATCTATTCGATGACCTTTCTACCTTATGCAAGTTCATTGATCATATGCTATTGTAAATAACAAACCTATGAAAAGAATGATCAAGGATGAAATAAGATTACTTTCACAGTTCACTTTTGAGTCATGAAACTACACCTTAGGCCAAGTCCAATGCAAAACCCCAAATATAGGGGCCTTGAACTCCAAATTTGGGGATTGGACCCCATTTTCCCTTCTTTTGCTCCAATGCAACAAACTCCATATTTGGGGTTCTTAATATTTCCAGTTTTTTCATTTATTGAAAAATGTACTTATCGAAACTTTAACATAATTTGTTCATGTTAATTTTTGTATAGTTCGTCATCATTTTTAAATACAAATTTTTCGATAGAATTTTGTTAAATTTCGAGACCGAATTTTTTTTAGCAAAAAATTATGGACCTAATTTGGGTTTACACACAACACTTGCTAATCATAAAGCTTAAATATTACACACAACACTTGAAAATGATAAAGTTTAAAAATAACACACAACACTTGAAATGATAAAAAAAGAAACACATAACATGTAAATAATCACCCAGAAGGGAATAGTAATTCCCGTAATCTCCTCCACCTTCATCTCCTCCTCCACCTTCATCTCCTCCTCCATTTCCATCTCCACCTCCAGTTTGACTTGAGTTGGATGAATAGTCGGGAACAGAGTTGGGATCATCTTGATCATACCCTAGGAGCATGTTTTGATGATTTTTGTAAAACTTCCGCTTTCTTGGTGTCAACTTCGACAAGTCCTTTTCAATAAGATCAAGATTGTTCCGAAATAGTGCTGCTTCCCTCTCTTTTTTCTCAACTTCCCACTTTTCTTGGTCACGCTTTGATTTTTGTTCTTGGAATTCCATCCTTCTTCGCTCATACTCAGTCCTCAAAGCATGCCTCTCCTTCAACTCACTTCCATACTCAAGCAATTGAGCAGTGTAGCTCTCTGATGACTCGACAACCCCCTTTCCTTTCTTCTTAGCTGCCTTTTGTTTGTCGCGTCCAGCAGGGCGAGATATGAAGAATGGTGGAGTTTCTTCAACGAACGGTGGAGTTTCTCCGACGAATGGTGGAGTTTCTTCGTCTCCTTCTGTGATATTGAGGTCTGTCTGTGGTGTTGATTGATAACCAAGACCCATGGGAGAACCATCAGAACCTTGACTCATGCGGCTTTGATTTGAAGATGGCATTATTATCACGGTATGAAATTTTTGGCATCTTTTCAAGATCCACCAACAATGACCAAAAGTCCACCCCTTTTCTCCGGTCTCGCTTAAATAGAGTTGTTCTGCCATATGCTTCTATACGTATAAATGAATGAGATGGAAAAGGAGTTAGAAAATAGAACACACGTACTAATGAACAAGGTAAAAAATAACAATGATGGTGACGGAGAATTCATACCACATCCATTTGATTCGTGCCACTTGGTTGATTCCTCTCTGCCCTTTGGATAGCTGAATTCCAACACTTGCAGTATTTGGTGATTGTGCCCATTCGATTAGTCATGCTTTTGATAGTACGAGATGTGTTTCGATCGTTCGATCGAAATTGCGCCGCCACTCTATCCCAGAACCTTGTATCCCTTTGATTGACACCCACAGCTCCATCTTCCGATATCATCACCCAAGAACTGCACAAGTTCTTATCTTCCTCCGCTGTCCAATTCCCTTTTCTCTTGCTTGTCATTGTTTGGTTTTTAGAGAGACAAAGATGATAGAAATAATGAGGGGACTAACAGAAAATTTCAATAAGAATGAATGTTAGAGAGAGGGGAGGATGTCTGAATATATAGAGAATTTATGACTGTTAGGTTATGACCGTTCGGATATAAACGTTAGGTAAGGTTGGTAGGTAAGGCTATTAGGAATCACATGTTCGAATATGACCGTTAGGTAAAGTTGGTAGGTAGCACATGTTCGAATATGACCGTTATGTAAGGTTGGTAGGTAGCACATGTTCAGATATGACCGTTAGGTAAGGTTGGTAGGTAGCACATGTTCGAATATGACCGTTAGGTAAGGTTGGTAGGTAGAACATGTTCGAATATAAATGCAAATCCCCCATTTACCATCAATTGTATACTTGTCTGAAACTTCCTCCTATTTCTAAAACAAACACATTCATCATGAGTTCCTCAGATTACTCATCTTCTGGAGGAGAACAAGAGATAGAAGAGTTGAATCTGTTTAACTATCATCGTTTGACTTTAATCGGGCGGAGGCTTGAGGAAGGTTCACGCTCACGTCGCCGTTCAACAAATCGCACCTACATTGATCGTGAAAGGGTCTCAGGTCATGACCGTCTTATGCATGATTACTTCAATCCAAATCCAACATACGATGCCCGCATATTCAGAAGGCGCTTTCGTATGCAACCACGACTATTCAATCGCATAATGGGTGACGTTGTGAGGTATGATCCCTCTTTTGCACGAAGGAGTGATGCCGTTGGTCACCTAGGCCTATCGCCGGAGCAAAAGCTTACTAGTGCACTGCGCATGCTAGCTTATGGATCTCCAGCTGATCAACTTGATGACTACATGCGTATGGGTAAGAGCACTGTGCTTGAAGTCTTCAGGAAGTTTTGCAGAGCCATTGTCGGGATGTACTCATCGACATATCTTCGTGCACCAACTCCTGCTGATCTAAGGATTCTACTTCATAAAGCCTCACAACGCGGATTCCCTGGTATGATTGGATCAATTGATTGCATGCACTGGGAGTGGAGGAACTGTCCTACTTCTTGGACTGGGCAGTACCTGGGGCACAACCGTAAACCAACAATCATTCTCGAGGCAGTGGCTTCGTACACACCTGGATATGGCATGCTTTCTTCGGCCCTCCTAGGTCGAATAATGACATCAATGTTCTGGGGATGTCTCCAGTGTTTGACGGTGTCCTCAACGGATCCACCCCACGAGTACGATTTGAGGTAAACGGTCATACCTATGATCAATGTTATTATTTGGCTGATGGTATTTATCCTTCGTGGTCAACTTTAGTGAAAACATTCAGCAATCCAAGCTCAAACAAAGAAGCCTTGTTTGCTCGATGTCAAGAAGCACATCGAAAAGACGTAGAGCGGGCCTTTGGAATTCTTCAAGCTAGATGGGCAATCGTTCGTGGCCCTGCAAGATCTTGGGATGTTGCAACAATTAATGATATAATGTTGACATGCATTATATTGCACAACATGATAATCGAGGATGAGCAGGTTGATTCTGACGATGAGATGGAAGATAATCTTGATTATGAGGTCCACGACCAACAACCAACTAATGTTGATAGAGATATTCCAACCCTAACTGAGTACTTAGCTAGGAATAATAGGCTTCGTGCTGCACCAACACATCATGGGCTTCGTCGGGACTTGGTCGAACATATTTGGAACTTGCATGGAAATAATTAGGCATTGTTGTTGCTTGGTATCGATGCTGTGATGCTTTGTAATTCAATTAAAGTTGTAGTTGGTGACAATTTATTTTGTAATTTACAAACACATTTTCATTTCCATAATATAATTTCCATTCTTAGTTCGTTCTAATTTTTGTTTACACACAACTTAAAGATGATAAACATAAATTTTAAATAAAATGAATTCAATTTAAGTCATCTTAGAAAAAAAGCCTAAATACAAAAATATTAAACACAAATTAAATACAATCTAAAAAGACTAAATACAAACATAAATTTAATTCCCCTTCCCCTAATTAATTCAATTTAATTCCCCTTCCCCTTCCCCTAATTAATTACAACTCCTTTAATAATTACTCTAATTAACTCGGCAATAATTAATTATAATTCCCTTAATAAGATTCCCTAATTAATTACAACTCCTAATGGCCTTAAATAATACGGCAACAATTAAAAAAAAAAAACGTGATGGGCGGCACAGCCGCCGGGGCTGGGCGGTGCGCCGCACGCGCAAGGGAGAGATCCCTTGCGCGTGCGGCGCACCGCCCAGCCCCGGCGGCTGTGCCGCCCAGCAGACAGCTCGGCCTCCATAAATGCCGAAATCGGCAAACCCTCCCCCATATATAGCGATCCAATTGCCGATCGCCTCCATAATTGCCGATTTTCAGCATTTATTTCTCTGCGTTGGAACTCCCCGATCGCCATTAATGCCGACAACCCCATAAATGCAGGCTGCATTGGACTCAGCCTTACCAACCTTAACGAGCTATGAAACTGTAAACTGATCTACAAATGCAACTATATACTATGAGACTTAACTTCAATGTGCAACCTATCAACTAGGATCAAACAAACCATAAACATTATGCTGTAGTTGCGGTTGTAAACTGAGGGCAACTAGCAATCTTATTTTCCAGGACCTTCAGTGTTTTTCCAATTCGGTGACTCCAATCAATTTTCTTCCATATAATCTTCTACACCTTTTCCAATCAAATGATTCGAGAGTAGTCTTCCAACTTGGCAGTTTGTGAAGCACTTCACTAGATCCCCCTTACTGCTTACCAAGGAAATCTAGCCGCCTTGGAATTGGAACAATACTCTGTTCATTCCTGAAGAAATTGTGAGCATCAACAGCCGCCTTCACACGCGCCAACCTATCAAAATTGTTCCCAAAATACTTCTCACCCCACACCTTCGCTTGCTCGAAGCTCGTTTCTCCTTCAACGATATCATTCATTCCAATATCAAGATCCCTGTAATTCACATAAGCAGACCTCGGATTGCTCGAAACGTAAGGAGCTGCAAGATCATACAGCTCCCTCAGCCAACCAATGTGCCTCTCTGCAGTTTCCAGACCATCTTCAGTCCAAAACGACAAGTACCGAACTTGATACAAGTTCCCAGCTCTGTTCGGGAATGGAATGCTGGAATCCGATATCTCATCCATCCTCCCTCCCAAAGGAACCATCACACACTACAGGAAAAAGACCATTTAATCACGGTATATCCAGTGTTTAAAAGTGTGTTTCCCGTGTTTAATAGTTTTATTCACGGGAAAATTACCGTAATATATACCTCCGTGTTTAATTGTATAGGTCACGGGAACTTTGTACCGTGACTAGTTATAACTAGTCACTGTATGATTTCCCGTGATAATATATACTTACTAATCACAAGAGGCCCTGTGACTAATGTCAAGTCTTGCCACACAAAACTGAGAAATAAAACTCATTTAGAGACGGGATGTAGGCTTTTAACACAGTATTTACCGTGATAAAATTGTTTCCCGTGACTAGATGCCAATCGTTAGTCACGATATTTGGCTAATTCTCCTGTGTCTAGATGCTAACATTTGGTCACAGTATTTGGTTAATTCTCCCATGTTATACACTAACATTTGGTCACGATATTTAACATATATTTTCCCTAATTAATTGCACCTGGTTTTCTTTCTTTCTAATGCTTCGTGTTTGAGCTTGTAGTATTGAGAGTCAAACTAATAAAATGAAGATACAAATACCCTTACAAATGATGTCCACAACCAAAAGTCATTACAAATGATGTCCCCTTAATAGCCAAAAATAAAGTCATTACAGATGATGTTCTTTAATGAAATGATGTCCGCTTAGTAGCTAAAACAACCTCACTTCTGCAATTCATCTTGTGGATCAGTAGATTGAAATGATGAAACAAAACATGTCAAGTGAAAGCAGCTTTTGTCTTGTTATATTAGGCGCCAAGAATGACATCAAAATGTGGCCCTGCATCCATACAACAGAATAAGTTCATTAACTTTATTTTTCCAAAACTCATTGCAAGTGAATAAAGGCATATGGTATAACCTGTGCCAACCTCCCTAATGCAAATGCTGACTTTTCCTGAAGCTGCACATCCAAAGCCTCAAGCATATCAATCAAGCAGAACTCTTGTGCCACAAAGAAAGAAAGGAAAGATAAGTCAAATTACCATTTGCATTCACCATTACATAGTGCCTCAAGGAGCAAACCTAGACAGAAAACAAGAAAAAGCATAAAGAGATTGGGCAACTATATTATAAGTCCAAAAACCTTGCTCTTTGATCACTGCCAGCAGTGTCTTCCTGGGTAATTCAAGCCCCTACAAAAGATAACAGTAGTCTAGCAAAATAAGAAGCAATCAACACATCAATTAAGTTGCAAGTGAGAGAGAGACCATCCAGGAAGAACCCAGCTTAATCTTGCTGAAAAAGAACCCAAGCAGAACCCAACTTGAACATCCATCACAAGAATGCAGGAACACCAACTGTCAGTTACACACCTTTCTCAAATCCCTATATCTAGAATCATGGACACCATAAAAATCAAGAAAGAAACCAAATATATCTATGAACACAAGTAGATGGTCCCATTAGTGATTTCTCCGAGTCAATTCCCACATTTTTTAAGCATTACAATGTCTCTAGCACTCTAACAGTATTGCTTCAATGCTCTATCAGTGTTCTTAACACACCTGAGAAGCACCTGCAAAACCAAATACAACCCATACAAAGAACTTGAGACAATACTGCAACTATTATCCAGAACACCAACTAAATTATCTACACCAATGAATTTCAGAAGGGAGCTAATCAAACCAAAAAAGAAAGAAATAAGTAGCATATTGCGTTCTGGGCTCAAAGCAAGCCTTCCAATCCAGAATTCATTTATAACCTGAAATCACAGATGCTGAAAGATAAAAACAATCCACAACAGTATAGAAATAGATACACCGAACTACTAGATGTAACTCAGTCCTCCCTTTCGGGATCTACCTTTAACAAAAATTGGCAGCAACTAGTAACAGCAGAAAAGAGATAGGAATGACAGAACTGGAAGTTTAAACGCCTAACTAAAATAACATACTAAGGTTTATCCGCCCTAGAAACAAGATCCAAATGAGAAGCTAAAATTTTATAGTGACATCATTCAGAAGAATATAAGACCCATCCACGTTGAATGTATGCAAATCAGGACACATCACAAAAAGAATTTCTAAGAATAAGACTCTAGTTCCAAAGTAAGACCTTCTAAGTTATAGGACCATAGAGTAGTATATTAACCTTTCCACCCTTAAACTTTGACACATCTAGCATCCAACATAGCATTAAGTTACTGATTGTTAGCTTGTTTCAGGATTACAAAAGCATTAGAAATTATTATTGTGCGGACCAGGAGACCGCTATTAACCCATAACAGAAACAGCTCTGACCTCTGATGAAAAGCTATATCAAGATTCCTGCTAGAAATCTGCAGCAACCAGATGAATCAGAGTTTACTTTAATGTACATGAGAAGAGATAACTATACAAGCAACAGTAAATCCAATCCTGGTCACTTTGTGGCCAACAACATTAGCAAGAGATTGCTCAATTATTTAACTGAGAAGTTATACTCACATGACTCCATAGCAAGAATACTAGAAGCCTGTGTTTGATTCGTTTGGTAAATCCATTTGGGATGCAAAGTCACATGAAACGTCAGCAATGATACAGCAAGGCACACAAAAGAATCCTCATTATCAATGTACGATCCAGAGCTTTTGGTTCCACTTTGCATGTCCAAAACTACACCCTCCAACATTGCTAACCTCCTGCCGCCAGAACAACCAACAAATCCAACAAGTGAGATACTAGAAATCCATAATCTGTTAGTATCAAAGTCTAGTGAATACTTTTTAAGCTCGGACAAATAGAAATTGCTTGTCATTATACATCTGCAACATCTTAGCTCCATGCTTTGGAATATGTATCTTCCCCCACGAAGCTCAGCATGACATGGACATCTTCATGCCCACATAATTGCAAACTTCTATGTTCGGAGACAGAGACAAGGATAAATTACAAACAAATCAAACATGTCTGGTATTAAACACAAAACCACTTGAGAGGTTGGGATGGAACTTGTACCTTCTGCACAATGTCTCTTTATTCTTAATCCTAATGCTTGCTTGAGTCCTCATGACTTATGCTTTCTCAAGTTGTAGCAGATGAGAGAGGCTTAAGTTAAGCAACTTCATGAGTTATCAAGAAGAAGTATAGCAATAAACAAATTCCCAAAGACCCCCGATACTGGATTCAAACACAAAATCCTAGATTACTGAAGAACTCCAAATTATTAAACACAACCCATGTTAATACAAACCAAACACCAATCCTTAATCTTAGAATCGCAAACCATATAATAACCCTAAATTAACTAGGCTAGTAACCAAAATCATTTAACAAGCTTAGTTGGCCAGTATAGACGTATGAAGGAATTGAGAGTGTATCACCTAGATTCCTTATATCAAACCTACCGATAAGTTGTGCATGTCCAAGCGTCCACCATTTTCGGTGAAAGTAATCATTAACGATGACTTCCTCTGTCTCCTCTAAATTGAGAGCGGGAAGGTAGGGCGGTGACTTCGTCTCCAGCGGGCACAAAGTTCTCGGTGCTTCCCTCCCACGGTTGAAGCCCCATACCTAGAACCATCAACCATGTCCTTGAGAGCCTGGATGACTGAAACAGACAACACCAAGACGATACAAATCTATCAAGATTTGCGCGAAACCACATTAGAAATACTCAATACGGAGCTCAACTTAGGGAATGGGATGGAATAAATTGGATTTTGGTGTGAGAGAGGGGTTTACCAGCTAGGTAGAATCTTCGAGGAAGTTAAGTGAAGTTGACAGCGGGAACGAAATGGAGCTTGTTGATTTCGGAGTGTTAGCCCTGACGAGTCGTCTTCACTGAATGGATTTCAGAGATCGAGTAGGAGCCGTGCAAGGAGAAGAGGGAAAGAGAATGGCTAAACCCTCATATACATGGTACAATCCAGATCTATAATTCATGATAGAGATTTGATGCGAAGAAGAGGGAAAACGAATGAGGATTGTCGAGGAGTCTGAAGCTCTAAGCCGGATAGGGAATGAAATTGGAAGTAAAAGAGGTGGGATAGAGAATCGACTTCCACTTTTGATTTTGTTTTACGATGGGAATTTGCTCGAGGAGAGAGGGAACATAAATCGCGATGTGCAACACCCACTTTTGCTTTTGTTTTACGGGTGGGCGGGATAATTTTCGTTGGCGGCTTTTTGGAGCCCAAACGAAATTTTGTTTGTGGGAAGTTTTGGAGGGGGAGGAAGTTTGGAGGCAAACCAAATTTTTCCCACTTAAATTTTGGTAAATGTTTTGAACTAAAATTATGACAGTGTTCACGGTAATTAACCGTGATTAACAATTAGTCACGGTAAATAAGGACTTAAAAATTATAAAATTAATTCCCGTGTTTAGATCTATATCGTCAATTACAGGAAATTTTCCCGTGACTGCTAATATACTTTTAAGTACAGTAAAAGTTCCCGTGAATAGGATACCGTGTCCAAAAATCAGTTTTCCTGTAGTGACAATCACTCCCGACCCGACATCGGCTTCTAAGATCTTCTCCCACATCTTCAGAATCGCAGCCTCCGGGATCGGATCACGAACATTGACTGTGATTTTATGGAACGCACCTTAGAGGTGCGTTTTATATATAAACCGCACCCTAAGGGTGCGTTTTCAACATAAAACGCACCTCTAAGGTGCGGTTTGTGCCACGTCAGAATGGGAAACGCACCTCCAAGGTGTGTTCTGTGTTTGGTGGGCAGCGGCCTTACAGACCGCAGGATTGTGTGGCGATCTAGCGGGCAGGATCAATGCCACGTCAGGGATCCGCAGCGTGGATCGCAGAACGCAGCGAGGAGGAGCGGTTTGGCGTCTTGAATCATGGAACACATCTTTTCAGAGCGGTCAGCGCCTCGGGAAGCGGAAACCACATCGGAAGGGTGCGTTTTCTCCTCTGGCAAAATTACCAGACCGTCCCTGGAGGGTGCGGTCTGTTGGGTATAAATACCCCCCCTTCCCCTCTCATTTCTTCACACCACAACCCATTCTTCCTTCTCTCTCTAGAATTTATCTCTCTAAACCCTCCCCTCCCAAAAGCCTAGGAAATAGTGGTATGTTGGTTGCGGCTAAGTCCGATATGCCATTAGAAAATATTTCTTAGGTTTTTTCCTCAAAACCCGCCGAGCCGAATCTCTGTCCGAAATTTGGTTTTTTCCTCAAAACCAGCCGAACCTCTTTCCGAATTTCCCGAAAAAATGGCCGATTGGTGGCAAGGAGAGGGAGTTTATGTCGATGAATTTCAAGCGGTACGTACTCATTATTCTGGTTTAATTTTTGTTATTGTTATAAGCTTTTTAATTAATTTATGTACTAACCTCGTTGTTATTTTCTCGTAGGTTGGGGAGGACGTGGATATATACAACCAACGGTATTATCTCGACCAACGGTATTATCATGAAAGGCACCTTCATCAGCTCCATAATGGTAGTTGTGAAAACTACCGCTGCCTGAATGGAAGTTGTACTGAGGTTGGTTGGGGAGGTCCGGTTGAACTTCTTCTTCATATGACCGGAAAGATTGATGATGACCTTCACCTTGCTCTTGGTACTGAAAATAGGAATGTGGATCATGGTAACTTTGGTAGGGATGATCGCCATATAATTTACCTCCACCATGGATACCAGATGTTTGACCGTGTCCAGAATGACCTCCAACGCCTACGACCGGCTCGGTGTAAATGAACATCTCGGCTTTGGAAAGATTGTTGGACCTCAAGAATTTGAGCATGGCATCTACCTCATCCTGAGTGGTTATGAGATATTCCTCATGCCACAATGACCTACTTTCTCTGTTTGGATATCGGTACACCATACGATCAACTCTTCTCGTGCCATCCATGCAAGTAACGTTAGTGCACATTTGATGGAGGTCTTCAAGTACCAGTCTGGTAGCGACCTTTATCTTCTGAAAATTGCCACCAACGTAGGTGACCCCCTTTCCGGTCTCTTTCGTGTAACCATTCCACCGTAAGCCTAGCGTGAACTTTTGGAATGCCATCTGCGAAAAAACCGTAGTTCAGTTAATATCATAAAAATCAAAAATAAAAAATAACACTAAAAAGTAATACTAAATAACTTACGAGTTAACGTTAATCGCAAAACTACTAAAGAAATATAGAGCTACAACAGAAAATTGAAAAGGGAGAAGGAGAGGTGTGAAGAGAAATGGTTTTCCGGGAAGGCTTTTATAGGCAAAATTACTGATGAAAACCCCCAAGGTGCGGTTTTTGTCTGCCATGAAGACCCACGTTTGTTGTTCTGCATGGCATGTCGGAAATTAATTGACCAAAACCACACCTTGGGGGTGCGGTTTGAGTGGCAAAACCGCACCATGCAGATGCGGTTTTGTTTGGGAGAAGCAAACCGCAGCTTCATGGTGCGGTTTAGATAGGTCAGGCCTAAACCGCACCTCGGCCAAGCGGTTTCTGTAGGTTAGACCTAAAACCGCTTGGCCAATATGCGGTTTTAGTCCAGGATTTAAAACCGCTCCATAGAGGTGCGGTCCATAAAAAAAGGGTGCTATTAGTGTAAATTATTTCGGCTGGGTGCTATTTTTGTAAAAAAAATTTAAAAGGTGCTATTTTTGGAAAATCCCCAATTGTACTAATGGTAAATGATTATTGTTTTTTCTTTCTAATAATTACTACGTGCCTAAAATTTGTATTTGGATGGATGAATTTTAAATGTATCAAATTTGGGATTTCAAATGGAAACGGACAATTTTTTTTAAGACAATGGTGATATAGGTTATTTTTTGTTATTAGGTACTACTAAAGGGACTCGAACTTCAGGTTTATGGCTAGTTGTATTATCTCTAGACCAATCTCTTGTTCGTAAAAAAAAAAAAATTGAAAACGGACAATTAGAAGGTAACACCAACTAGTGGAAGAAGATAGGGTGATAACTCTATAAGAGTTAGCATCATCCTAACTAGTATATAAACAGTCTACTTCTATCTTGATTTTTTAATATAATGGCTATAATTAGAGAAAGAGTATAGTAGGGAAACAAGAGGGAAAAATTAAAATGTAAACCTAATTATGATTTATGGAAATGGACGGTTTTAATGGAGCGATATGATTGCTATTTGGGGAAAATAATTATTAATCTATTTTTTGAAAAAGGAAAAAAAAAACTACTACATATCAATCCATTTACCACTTCTCTCTTTAATTGATAGATATTTTACTGGTATTATTGATTTAGGGTATGCCTACTATGACATGCATGTCACGGTGACATGCATGTCACGGTGACATGCACTTTTCGGTCGACTTATTCCTGAAGGCGGTCGACCGAATTGACTAATTTGGGCAGCACGAGAAAGCGTTGCGGTCGACCGCCACGACCACATGGTCGACCGCACTTAGTTTAAGTTGGTATTTTTGGTCGACCAGAATAAAACCTCGTTCGGCCATTTCGTTGGCGTCAGAAACAACATGGTCGACCACCTAATATATAGGTCGACCACTTGATGGCAGTCATTAACAAAATGGTCGACCGGATAAGGAAAGAGGTCGACCAGATAGAAGATAAGTGTTCTATCAAAGTGTCCAATCATTTGACGTAAAATGAAAATCAAGTGTTGGTTTCTCGGTCGACCTAATCCGGTACGAGGTCGACCGAATACAAGAAAGTCAACCTATGCCCCGTGTCTTTTTTGCTTATGTATGTCGATTTGTGTGGTTAATTTAATCGTATAAATTATGTTTCAAACCATCATAATTAGTCATTAATAATTATAACAAGGACTCATCAATTCATAGCATAACAACTAAAAATAAAACAGCAATCATAATTGTTCAAACATAAAAATAAAACTAAAAAACAACAGAATAACAATCAACAATCGTTTTGAAAACTAAAACACACAATATAAAATCTCCTCTCTCCTACTCATCTCCCCCCTCTCCCTCATCCACATTTTCTTCATTTTCTTCATTGGTGGTGGTAGCATGATGGTGGTCGGATGTGGTGGGATGCATGTATCTTCCGCTGAAAGATCGCCACTCATCTCGCATCTCATTCACGGTCACCTGCATTGTGCTCATCTGGGCGGTCATTTGCCCCATGTAGTCGTACATGCCAGTCATCTGGGTGGACATATGGCCCATGTACTCGTACATGCCATCCATGCGCTCCCACACACACTGTAAGGTGATCGGTGGAGTTGAAGTCTGTGCCTCCGCCATTGGCTCATCTCGAGCTCCTTCATCACCATCATCATCCTCATCATCATCATCATCATCACCACCATGAGCAATGTTTGCTCTGCCATACTCACCATTACGCAGGTCAAAGCCCATCTTTTTCAGAGATGAAACTATATAGAACTCCTGCCTTGAGATCGTTAACCCCACCTCTTCACTTAAATTCACATTAAAAAAATGCTCAAATATCACAGTGAGGATCATCCCATAGGGAAGATTCCTGTTTGAACTCTCTGCAGCAGTAAGCATGTGGTTAAAGATCAAGTATGGCAAGTTCACCTTCTCGTTTAACAGTAGGTTGGTGAGGAGATCCATGTCGAAGTAGGTGGCTGTCTCCCGATGTCCACCCTTTGGCAGAATGTTGTAGGAAAGCATGTGGTGAAGAACTCTGGCTTGAACTGTCAGGTGGTTACTCGATGGCCTATTGCGCCCCTGAGCATCTTCCTCTTCATCAAGACCACATACTGTCTGGATTTGCTTGGCTCTCGTGAAATGCGTTTCATTCCAAGCACCGTAAGAATTGATTCTCCTCCCCTCGTTTGGAGCCTCCAGTACTTGCACCATCACATTCTTGCTGATGCGCATCGCCACCCAATTCACATAGGATTTGAATGCGTGAATGCAGTGCAGTCAAAATCGCGCATTAAAACGTAAAAACTTACGTTTTTACGTATCCAGGCCACCAAAACGTTTCAGTTTCTACCTAAAGTCGCTTAGTTACAAAAACTGGTAAAAACATGGGTAAAATCGGTAAAATCGCTTAAAATCGATAAAATCGCGATTCTAAAGCGTTTTTATACGATTTTGATAATCTCATAAAAATGTGCTAATTGGCCCAAAATGAT